TATATATATATATATATATATATATATTGGCTAACTGCAAACGCAGTTAGTTGCAGTTAGCCAACTGCAAACGAACGAATGAAGGAAACAGAGTTAGATGGATTGAAGGACACAACGACCACAGAACCTTCGGCTATGTTGCCAGTGCTAGCTGTCAAAACAGTTAATTCTTATAAAAATCGCCCTATACAATGTTTTTTTTAGTTCAGGGAAACCCTAACCTCCAACGCTACAGATGAATATCCAAATCAAGCAATCAAAATTTACGCCAAAGCTGTCCAAACAGATTCATTCCCAAAGAAAGAACAACCAATAGTCATAGACGCACTAGATGGTATAAGCTTTAAAGAATATGTAAAGAAGATGGCAACAATAACTGAACCGAGTCATATAAGATTCTTTGCAAGGAAATCCAATTACACAATTTGTATATTTCTATCAAGTCCCGAATTAGCTAAGAAAACCACAGAATAACACAAAGTAATAGAAATTGACAAATACAAATTGAGTGTAAGGCCATTAATAAATCATAATGTTAGAGTAATAATATAAAATGTTTGCCCAATAATGCCACGTGAAGGAATTCGGAGAGTTCTAAACCAGAAATAAATAAAAACCTTGACTAAGACATCTTTCATTACCTGATTCAACTTTGATCTTTTATGATAACACTTCATACAGAATCAATTTTTCCACTAAAAATATTTCTTGTTTTCTAAGGAAGGTCAAATTGCCAACAAATGCAGATCTAATCACACTGGGAATGAAATAACTTAAGTCTACATCTACCGATGCTGTTCATAATAAACCAGAAATGGAGGAACCTGAACCTGAAGTCATGCATATACAGTCAGTAACCTCAACAATTAATGAAGAAACTTTTCCTCCTTCCCCACAAAATCTAAATAATAAAAAAACATCCAAGAAAAAAGGAAAGAAGAAAATGAAGAATCACCTTCCTCAAAACACACACCAATAAAATCAGCTAGTGAAGTACTTGCTCCAGATAAATATTTCATAGAGACCAATCAAGAAAAATTTCCTCTAAATTATTATTTTGAATTATTTATAGAAAATGGACCCAAGGGTGGTTGATGGTTTTCAGGATCCATTAATTATTGCAAAAGAGTATACCAAGACATTGGATGGAGTAATTCCAATGGTAAATACCCATTCATCACTGAAAGGTCAATAGAGAGCAGGATTACCAGAATTACTAAACGCTTAACAGCTTAGCAACAGCTTCTTTCTAAGTCTTGAAAGCATTCAATTACTTTGTAATTTGTATCCACCCGACATTATTTGGTTTCAAAAGACTAAATTTCAAAAATAATATAAATAATATTGTTGGAAAAATAAAAGGTTTCAAATGCTTTTCAAATATCGCAATAACCCAAATTATTGTTGTGGTGGAGTTGCAATATACGTTAAAGAAGCAATATACATTAACTAATTTAATATTCAATCCAATATAAAAGCTATAGCTATTAAAATAATTTATCCTCTTACAATATGTATATGTTATACATACATAACTAACATACATTCTGAAGAGAAGGCTGACATTACTGATACCAACTGCCCAAACCCTTTATTATTTGAGGTTGATTTTAACAGTCACAATTCTCGTTAGGGGTCATAAAAAATTGATTCAAGGGGTCAGGAAATTGAATCTGCAGTTGACTCTGATATTATGATTCTCAATTCAGATGGAGCAACTCATATGAACCTTAGCACTAGAATTAGTGCTATTGGCATTACAAGTTCTGCTTCACTTGCCCATATGTGACCCATATATAGACCAGGGCTTGCCAACTCAATACTCTGTGATGTCACAAAAATCTTCTCTCCTGGTGAATGAATACCTCACTTATAAATATCAACTAAACAATTCAATTTCAATTGAAGAACTTTTGATACTAATATTGACTCAACTAAAAACTCGTCTCCAGGGTCTGACAACAACCCAAATGTAGTCATAAAAAATTTACACCACGGGAATGGGTATGCTTCTCAGAATATACTGGGAGAGAAATTTATTTTATAACTTGTGGAGAGGCAACAGTAATTCCAATTCAAAAACCAGGAAAAGATAAGACAAATATTGATAATTGCATGCCAATATCCTTAATTTGTAACATGTGCAAGATACTTAAAAAATATTAGACAACATATTTAGATGGTTCTTGCATCACCACAGTGCCATCAGACACACCCAATTTTGTTTTCCACAAGGTCACTCCATCCTATCTCATCTTTTAAGTGTTGGCACATATATTCAAGACGCCTTTATGAATAATCCGCATGTATTAGCTGTCAATTTAGACACCGAAATAGCATACGACATGGTTTGGAGACACTGAATTCTTCGAATACTTCGTAAAATTGGAATTGGGGGAAACGCGTGTGCATTTCTGAAATATTTGTGTAATTTTTGGAAAAAAGTGCCCCGAAATGAACTTTACATCATACTAAAGAGTGAAGTTAGTACTATTCTTTCAAAACGATTGAAGCAAACATTTGGAGCCATTTTTGAGAGAATGGAGTTTGAGCGTTTCTGAAATTGCAAAATTTTGAGATAGTTTTGAATGAAAACTGTTGAACTTCCGAGAGTTTTATTTTACAATATTTAAAGCACCTGTGCTCATAAATATAATTCAGTGAACAAATTGGCGCTAATGTAAATATTAAAGACGCGAGAGACAAGTCAAAGAAATTTCATTTTTGTCATTTTTGAGGGACAAAGTGCAATATGGCGTCTGTTTCATATTATTGAGTACATTTAGCACATTTTCTACCAAAAGTTTAAAGGAGAACATTGGAACGATTTTTGAGAAATTCTTTTAGTATTTTTTTTAAATTGCACGTAATATTGCACGAAAACTACTATTTTTTTCAAAATGTCTATTACCTTAATGAAACCATAAGAAATGGACAAAAAAGTGTATTTGAAGGAAAACATAATTACTTTAAGTTCGTAATTGTTGGAAGAGCCCGAAACAAAATTCATTTTTGCAATTATCGAAAATTCAGAGTTAACCGTAAAAATAGGACGTATGCACCTTTATAAGTGTATTTTACTCTTTTCTTACAAGCATTTTTTAAAAATAGCAACCATTTTTGAGAAAATATTGAAAATGTCGCCAGGTTTTTATGTAAAGTACCCCTAAAAATTAATGTATGATTTTCAAAATCTCAGAGCTTCGACTCAGGCCAAATGGACGGGTATTTTCTCAATTTGGAAAAAATATTTCCCAAGGTGTAGACGCCAGTGGTGTTCACACACACCCGACGGGCGGACGGACGGATGGACGTTTCTCTCTTTTGGTGTCGGGGCCCCAAAACGTGTGTTGCTGTGGAAATCTCGAAATCGATTTTCTGCAGCTTTGCATAATTTTCCCAATACCCATCTCGATCAGGTTTTTGTCCAATTTCCCTGATCCACTGAGAAAATGCTGAAATGTTGCTCCCTTGTTTTGCTTCTGGACGTAAATGTAGGTTACATTGCGCACGGTTTTTTGAACTCTCCTTTTGCTTGTAATGGTAAGAGTAGAGGTAAGGGCGAGTTGCTATTTTGTTAGCAATGCAGAAAAATCATACTTGCAATTCATGTACCGATGCAAATAAGTTTTCTATAACTCAGAGACGAAAATTACTATTTTTCAAATATTGCTAATCTTGCAATTTTTAAAATTTATTTTTATTTATTTATGTTAAGTTTTACTCATATTTCAACTTTTATAGTTAAAATAACGGGAAGGCATTCTGGGACCCGAGAAAACGTGAGTAGATAATCTTTTCCTCCCTACGTCACATACAGTCTTTAATGTTTTTCGAGTGAATAAATCTATACTACGTGTATTACTCCGTATATACGTACATATACGGGAAAGTCAAAACGGCAACAAATGTGAAATACGAGTGTATGCAGGCTTGAGAATCAAAGAATACACGTTGTTAGAGCAACATATAAACAAAGTATGTATTCCATGTTTGGTGTCACAGCGATGGACACGGCCCTAAATACATGAGATGCGATAAATGGAAGTAGGTTTTGAAAGTAGTGATTCTGTGAGAAAGTTAAAATATTCACTCTCTTAATACCTGCCAATATGGACACATGTAGGCAATTGATGTGATGTGCATGTTAGTTTTCAGTAAAGTCCAGAGTTATTTGTAAATAGTATTGAAGCGGACAAATGATTAATATTGATAGATTAGCATTGTGCAGGGTAATAGTTCGAAGCTGTTAGTAATATTAAATTATAATTGTGATTTTTGTAAATGTAATTTGAGTCGTAAGTCAATAGACTCCGTATTTCCGGAAGGATTTATATCAGGACAGCTCCGTAGATTGGGCAGAATTTTTATCAAGCCGGTTGAAAAAAAGTATTTGCGCAAAGAGGTTTCACGCCATGCGTAGCGAGGGTCAGTCACGTTCGCCGAAGTAATTTGATAGAAATCACTGAGTTATAAAAAGTATAAAATAGTTTATGGCATTTTATTAATATTTGGATAGACAAAAACACTATATCAGGAGCAACGAAGACATCCCTTGGTCAACGACAAGTGAATACAGCCGAGAAGTCAGAAGTAGGCTTACGAACCTTATTTAAAAACCATTCGGTAAATTTATGTTGTGTATATGAAGAAAGTTATCCAATTCATGAGCTCTAAAACATTATGTAAAATTGTTATTAATGTTGACTATGATTTTTGAAAAGAGAAAAGGCTGGTAATATACAGTTGTTGCTATCAATTTAATAATTAGTTTGTACTGCTGAACCTCAATGAATCGTGATTCTGTATGGAATTAACCGTACATATGCACCAGGTAAGACGAGAAATGTATGTCAAAACACATGATTCAATTGAAAACTGAAATTAATATAATAATATAACATTGAGAGAATTTGTGCGCATAGCAGGACAAAAAAAAAAGAATTACATTGATAAAATCAGTAGGAAAAAAATAGAAGGGAAATAGTTTTTATCAAGTAGGCATTTTAGTGAGGTGTTTAGAAATTTGTATAAGTTGTATAAAGGGTATGCTAGAGTAGATATTATAGGTTAGTCATTGGCTAATAAAGGGCTAATCATTGGTTGAAATATTACTCGCGCAACTTTTCTTGAACGATGGATTGAAGAAATGTGGGTAGAGTGGAGGTATTAGTTACGAAATCGACCACCAGATTTTATGAAGTAATACCAATCTGGAGATTCGGTCATGCCTTAGCATCATTCAATAATTTTCGTTCTAACTTCCTCAGGAGTTCGAGGTATCTCCTGTGGTAGATCTTTATCTGCTTTGGTGATTTCTTTAGATTTTTGGAGAAAATAACGGATAGAATTTCTATCTTCAAAAGAAAATTGTTTCTATTTCCTGCCAGTGAAGATGTTTGGAATGTCATCAGTGCCCACTGCGAGTTTTTGCCCTCGACTGTTTATTGTGTCAGAGAGGGGGAAGCAAGGTCATCGTTCAAGAAAAGTTGCGCGAGTATTAGTAAGAACAATTGGCAATACAGTATAAGCTACAAAACAAAATAAATTACAAAATGTAACAGTAATTTTTAACACCTTATGATCGTAAAGCATGCATTTCCAATATAGAACTGCAACAGGAAAGGAGAACAACAATGAACACAACAAACAGATTTTATAAAAACACTCAAAAATATGTTTCTAAGCAGGCGATATGCCTTTACTGATGGTGTGCTTTTCGTTGTCAAGTCAGATCTTTTTTGCCGAACCGCCTTTCACGTCCCCTTCCCCTCGCACCTCCAGCCACCCGTGAAGATGTTACGAATCGGTGGACTGCGAAGGGGGCAACTCTGTGAAGCGCAACGCCTTTCCTCATGAATACCTGTCTCATGTCTTACAATGCACTGTCAAATTATTCTATAGTCGACATTAGCTCTAGAATGTTTAACATGAAATTAATATGTGCCTTTAATCTGCAGAATCCTTGCCGAAGTACTGGATTGTCCTGATTACATTGTGAACCCATGTACGTTCTGGTACTTGGATACCATCGCTGCAGCATTGAACAAAGCGCAGAAGGACACTTCAATGACGTTAGCAGAGCAGAAACAGATGATTGCTTGGTTTGGCCACATAATGAACATATTTCGAGGTAATTTTCATCATTCAAAATTTAACTTTAATAAATAATATTTATTTTAAATCCGAAAATGATAAGAAATTCTTCATATCGAGGTAAATTAAAAATATATACTTACAAGAACGGTAATATATAAATTTAAACTAAACAAAAATTACAATTTTCAATTGTTATTAATAAAAATAAATCAAATATGAAAATTTAAAAAAATGTGACAATGATTTGTCTGTAAAGACTATAGTTTATTTATGGTTTATGGGTAATATTTAATACTAAACAAAATTTCGATATTAAAATAACATTTTCTGACCTAAAAATTCTTCTCAATTCATACCAAATAACAATATAGTCTATAGACTTGTTATTCTATCAGCACCTATACTAACATATTGTGCTTTGTAAATGATTATCATAAACATGAAATTGCGTGAAATAGTGGGGTTAATGCTCAACAAAAGTTGTTAAAACTAGTGAAGCTACAGAATGGCACAGACTTTCCCGTTTATTCATTTTAATACCGTTAATCTTCTATAATATAAAAATGAATCGCATAATGTGTTGGTAAGCGCATAACTCAACAACGCCTGAACCAATATGGGCAATTCTTTTTTTAAAATGTTCGCTGAAGTTCAAGGATGGTTTTTGCGTCGAGAAAATTTCGAATAATAGCCGAAAAAAACCTAAAAACAGCCTTTTTCTTTTTCCCATACAAACGTTTTCTACTAAAACTTAAGAGTCAATTTGAGCTTTTATGTTGTATAAAGCACTCATTGTTGTAGACACAGCACTCACTTGTTGTAGGTATGTTTCCTAACGTCAAAAGGAGGTCAATTTGCTAGGGTTGCCACCTCTTCCGGTTTCAGACCGGAGACTCCGGTTTTTGAGCTTCATCTCCGGTCTCCGGTTTTTTAAAAAATTATCTGCGTTTTTTTTTTTTTCTTCTTTTCTCAATTTCATATATTTTCACAAATTTTTATACAAATAAATTGATTTTCCAACTTAAAATTTAAGCTTTTTCATATTCATCAGAAATCAGTCCTTTCTTCTTCGTTAGTTAGAACAGATAAACGAGCAGAAAAGTGAAACTGGTCTTGTCGAATTCTCGTGTTGAATCGCCATCGCTGTCTCTTTCATTCTACCGCATATCAGAGACAATGCATCTAGCGATTATGCGAGAATCGCATCGATGCAACAGTTTCAAGCAATAATTCCCGCAGGAAGCTATTCGATATCTCTCATTTTGACGCAAGATCGAATTTTCGTACGTTTTATCTTAAGAAAATTATTTCTTAGAAAACAGTTAGATAAGGTACATTTGTGATTCGTGGGAACTGCAACGTCATGTATTACTTGTGCGAAAACTGAGAAAACGGTTTGAATGATATACAATATATATATATATATATATATATATATATATATATATATATATATATATATATTTATATATATATGCAACATTTCGTATCACAGACTGAATATTTAGATTATACAATAAAATTTGAAATAAATGTTAAAAACGAATAATTATACATGTAAGTTTACATACAAATTTGTTTCACATATCTCTATAACCTAAAAATAATTATTATAATCTCTTTGTTTAGAAATAACTGAAGATTAAGACTATATTTATTGAGCGAAACAACATTTTAAGAAAAGTTGTGTAAAAATGAATTAATAGAAAGGTATTTTTAAAACACTAACATAATAGATAATTTTATGTATAAAATGTTTAGCAAATATTCTTTTCTCATTTTATTTTTTTATTTATATTTGAATTACTAAATAGATGAGAGTAAGTTAATTTATAAATTAACACTCTCACTTCACATATACACTTTATTTAGCAATTAAATATTTAATTACCCCCCCCCCGCCCGGTCGCAGCGGTCTCCGGTTTTCTGGAATTGGCAAGGTGGCAAACCTTACAATTTGCACTTTATTACCGTTTATACCAAAGTCCCAAATTTCAAGTCATATCTTATCAAAACCAGTGTGCGTGTGTGCGGGAGCACAGGAATACATCATTGGAAGAGTATAAATGTCGCGTTCCGAAACTATTATACATATAGAAATGCCTCCTATTAGACGAAGCAAATTTAGGTAGTAAGAACCGAAATGCTACAAACCAAGCTAATATTACCCGATCTAATCATGCTGCAACAAGACGTGATACCGAGAATTAAACGTGAAAGAATTCGGATATCACGACGCGTGAGGCGCGACGCTACATTCAGCTAATAATCGCTCAAAGTTTGAATCGAGCTTGCTTTCAGTTTACGATGTGTCAATTGGGGACTACAGTAACTACCAATCGTGTTGTTATTGTCTATGAAGCTCGGTTTTGCCTCATATTGTAGGCATGAAATTTAAAAACGAAGCTACATGGATTGTGTTGCGCCAAATGGTACAGTGAAATTGATACCATTAGAACCCCACCAGAGACATTGTACTCATGGTTTCAGGAATAGGAACAGATTCCATACACTTTTTGACAAAATATCCAACTATAACAATTATACGGACATTAATACCTGAGAAACAATTACTGTAATGACGGTTATCACTGTATCGTCGGACGATCGACAGCAATGGAAGAATCAACAATTGCAAATTAAATCAACAAGATATTGAAATATATAAATCGTTGGGTTGTTCCATATTTCACCCATTTTATCAAAGACCAAGCAAACATCAACGTTGAATCTCCATCGCCAATTCAGTTGAAATCTACTTAAATACATTTGCAAAATGTAAACCAATGCGCTGTGATTGGCAATTGTGCAGAGTAATCCAATGATGTAGTTACCAATACCAAATGGGCGCTATGTTAGTAGTAATGAAGCAGTATGGCGAATAATTCTTTTCCTAATCATGAGAGACACCCTTCCGTTGTTTCCACGGATTTTAATGCATGTCTAAAGTTCATCCAATTTCTTGGAAACATGTCAGAGTACTTTATTTAGTAAGAATATCGATGTCGAGTTGCAAAATGACCAATCTGGAAACTTTCTCTAAACAACCATGACCATTGGTAATGGCAATTTCCTATAGACATGTTGACAGGCTGCATTAAACTCTTCAAAGTTTTTTGTTCAGTTAACTCGATTCAAAAGATGAAACTTATTAAGAAAAGGTGTTTCCCAGATTGTGTCTCAAAAATTACCAGAAACCATGATTGGTTGAGCGCGAACGAGCTATATTGGCTTTAAAAACATATATGTAAATGAATTAAATTTAAAAATTCAAGAACAAATTACAGGCGAATCGAGGATATATAAATTATATATATAAAGCCTCTTCCTCCTTACGGGACACAAAGTCTGTGCACCGCAGCTCGAGGATGGGAGACATGATGCATTGCATGCCGTTTTATCGATCCATGATTCGAATTTATTGCTCATTACTATTATTACTATTATTATTATTATTATTATTATTATTATTATTATTATTACATTAAAAGATCGAGAAAAAAACTTATATTGAAGGACTTGGGGAGACTTTTACCTGCAAGCAGAGAAAAGATCTTGTTAGAGATTTCAACTTGAAGTAAAAAGTATTTTCTCCGAAGTGCTGGTAGAAAATTAAATAAATAAATAAATAAATAAATAAATAAATAAATAAATAAATAAATAAATAAATAAATAAATAAATAAATAAATAAATAAATAAATAAATAAATAAATAAATAAATAAATAAATAAATAAATAAATAAATAAATAAAATAAGGGTGTTTACATAAGAAATAACCAGTTGTATTATTTTTCAGAAAAACGATGGTCACGAGAAGAAATTCTGTGCAATGTAAATGCGGACATCATGGTCATTGGTTATAACCTTGATAATTTTAGCTGGGTTGCTCCTGCTCCTCAACCCGCCCGGTCTTACCTGATGACGGCCACTACCTCCAGATCATTTACCCAAGTGGAGGTTCCCAAAGGGTGGATTTACCTTCCATACATTTTTCATTTGATTTTTGACGTGTAAGGGTATTTTATTATTGTTTCAGTATTATAAGATGGAAAGTGTGAAATTTAATCTTAGCAACACTAATTCAAAGTGTTCTAATGTTTTCACAGATTCGCTAATCCGTTTCAGTTTCATGTGATTAAAAAATCATTATTTCAACAACCAGTTGTTATAGATGTGAAAATGCCTCACACTATTCGTTTTCCTAAGGCTTACAAAAGTGAAACTCTGCCTGTTGGAAGGAGCATTAAGTCGCCAGATAGGATAACAATGCTCCTACCTCAGGAAACACGTGAAAAAGGGCCTGAAAAGAAACCCATTTATATACTGCCACTCAAGGAGGCTGTTAACCAAGAGTTTGTACGTAACATTTTTGCGGCAAAACCCAGTTCTCAAGAAACTTAAGGAAGCAAACAGTTTCATAATAAGTGAATCATAGAAGCTCGCAGTTTGCTTGATCAAAGAGCGAATAATTAACATAATATGAAAAATTTCTTTCGAAAATATAATTATTTTTTTAAATTTTCAAAGCAAAATATTTATCAATCACCCAACTTTGAATTTCTTTGAAAAAAAAATAACATTTTTATTTCAGTGCCAAATCTCACATGTGAAAATAAAAATGTCATTGTGTTAAAATAATGTCCGTGAGAAAGTGTATTAAGGAATAAAACGTTACAATTTTTTATGTCAAGAACAATTATAATTACTAGAATTGAGAAGTTAAGATTTTTTAGTAAGTTTACGGATTTTCTGAGCGCGATTTCACGACAACATTTGATGCCCGAAGAGCCAAAACGCTGGTTCAACAACCTAATATCGCGCAGGGCCCCCGCGAGCGCGACTCGACTCGACTCGACTCGACTGTCTGGAGTAGCGCTGGGGCGAATTGACACCATGGCTCCTGTAGGGCCAATCGTTAGAGCACGAGATCGCTTCTCAACAGAATGTTGCAAGGAATCCCAGATATGCTCAATAATGTTCATTTCTGGGGATTTTGGTGGCCAGTGGAAGTGTTTAAATTCAGAAGAGTATTCTTGGAGCCACTATGTAGCAATTCTGGACATATGAGCGAGCTGTCGAGCTGTTTTGCTGGAATTGCCTAAGTCCGTCGGGATGCACAATGGACATGAATGTGTGCAGGCGATCAGACAGGATACTTTCGTCCACGTCACATGACAGAGTCGTATCTAGACGTAGAGCCTTCACCAGCTTCCCCCGTTGACAATCAGGGTACATGGATTCGTGAGGTTGTCGCCGTACTCGTCATCAGACCAGGCAACGTGTTTCCAGTCATCAACAGCTGCAGGTGCAGGCTACGCGTAAACCTTTGCGTCAAGCAGTCATCAAGGGTACCGAATGAGTCTTCAGCTCCGAAATTCCAAATCGATAATGTCTCGTTGAATGGTTCGCACGCTGACACTTGTTGATGGCCCAGCATTGAAATCTGGAGCAATTTACGGAAGAGTTGCACTTCTGTCATGTGTAATGATTCTCCTTAGTCGTCGACGGTCCCGTTCTTGCACGATCTATTTGCGAACGCAGCGATGCCGGAGGTTTGATGTTTTATCGGATTAGGATTTATCGGTATCGGATTTATATATTTAAGTAACATTTAAGCAATTTGCAATTTAATCTATCAAATGTAGTACAATAAAACATATAACCAGATATCATGAGGAATATTTGGATATAATGAATTGTAAAGAACCCCCATTTTTGACGTTAAAACCGAAATTTAGAATAGGTCGGGGCTTTGTATATTTATCAACAACCAGTATGGCATTTTCTGCATTAGTCCAAATAAAACAGTAGTGAATTTCAGCATTTGCATGTAATAATATTTCGAACATTGAGGATCAGGACTAATGATTAGAAGCAGTGATTGTAAACGACAAAGTATATTGCAGAAAATAAAATTTTAATATTTCGTCAAAGTTAACGACACTTAATATATACGAGTCAATAAGAATACGACACTCAATTGTCACGTTTTATTACCTTGCACGGGACCGCAGAAGAGAAAAATGACAGTTAGCAGACTAAAATGTACAATGACCAACTTGGTTACAAAAGGTAGGAAAGAAATGGAAATGTTTCATGTAATATTTTGGCTGGTTGGTTGTTAGTGATTCCATCGCGAGGGGCGGTGACCGCCGCACCGCGCGCCCACCATGGACAGTAGTGGGGCGCATGATAATGTATAGGGGCGAGGATAGGACAAGGAAGGAGGAGGAAAGACGCGGTATGTGCCCCCTTTTTAGGGTACTTTTCCAGTATTCGTGTGGTGTTGATCGGAGAAACCAACTACCGATCAGAGCAACCGGCCTCTAAAATTTTGGCGACTGAATTCGATCTAGCTGATAAGCTCATGTCTAAAATCTTGCCACTCGACTCAGGACTCCAACTTAGGCTCTCCCGGTAAGAGACTCAGGGTCTGTAGTGTTGACATTAGTGTGTGACATTAGTTGATGCACTGAGCCACCTCGCCCGATTTTGGCTTTTGGCATTTTTCGGAACAGAACGATAAGAAATTTCTCGAGGTAAGGGTGTGAGAAGTCCGATTTTGTGAGAGACGGATGTCAGAATGATAGTAGATTTCATGAGGAACGGATGTGAGATTTCGTGAGAGAATATTAAATTTCGTGGTTAGTTAAGTCAATTTTTGTTGAGTACGAAGATGTAAAAGTTAAAGTTTATAAATTGTACATCAAGGGATTGACTTGTTTGAAATTTAATGTCATATTTCATAAGTTGGGAATCGGATGCACAGAGAGCATGGCTTATAAGAATACCGGTAGGAATGTCCACCTGTGATTTGTTAACTCTCTTAGTAGTCGTAGTTTAGTTAATTTGAACTAGTTTTAAGAATTGAAGTGATCATATTCTTATAATATTGTCATTTAAATATTATGAGGTGGGTTCGTGATTTAAAGAGTTATACGTGATCCAGAGGACTACGTAGAATTATATTAGCAGTGACTTCATGAAAAGAAAATTCCTCGGGCAACTGAAGATTCTTCCACATTAGGACTTGAAATCACCGAAGCGGCACGGACATCTTGGCGGCGGTGATGGCGCAGCGGTTGGCGTATCGGTCTGTTGTATCCACGTTGGTGGGTGCAAAACCGAACGAAACTGTGGATTTTTAAGGGGCGAAGAAATCCTTCGGAGGGGAAGTAAAGCCGGCTGTCCCATGTTAGTAGATTTACTTGCATGTAAAAGATCCTCAAGCCTAAATGACGCCTCTGAGCTAAATTCAAAATCGCCTGTTTCTCGCCCAAGAAATACCTCCTTTCTCTCCTAGTTGGTGAAAGGAGCGTAGCGAAATTTGCGTGGTCAGACGGAAGAGCGGGACTGATGGCCCGAGTCTCGCCACGTAAAATAAGGCAACAATTAAATTAAATTCAAACATTATTGTAGGTACAAACATCATGCCCTATCGTATGATTCGATATAATCAAATTTTGAAAAAAACAAACAAAAACAAACAAACAATTTAACATCGCAAAAAATCAGAAAGGCATGTCTGGTTTCATAAGTTTATTTGAGTACACGCAAAATAATTCAAAGAGCTATTTAAAAAAAATATAAAAATCCAAGTAATATCTTATATTAGAGAGAATGTTTCTGTTGGTGCGTAGACCTCTCTGAAGCTGGGTAGCCACAAGACCAAATACATCAGAAATTATCAGAAAAATTTAACAAGCAAAAATAAATTAATTACTATTTAATTACTCCGTTTTACCATTATTATAAAACGTTATTGTTTAAAAAATGTTAAAATATCTACAAAAACACAACTTATGGAATTGCAAAATGCATCCTTACCAGAAAACAAAGATTTTCTTATGCTAATTACATGTGAATTAAGTGTATATATTTTTACCATACGATACCAGAAATAAGTCCGACAAGCAATTGTTTACAAATAGCATCAAAGTCATTACTTACAAAAAATTCTTAAAATTACATTTTACCGGCGAACCTCAAAATTACTAACACAATATTGTTACTACTTTTTTATATTTATTTAACAAATGATTCCAGAATTGATAACTGCATGCAATTGTTTATAAAGAAGCCTAAATCTTTACTCAGGCTATGTAGGTACCATATATAAGACAAGCGCATACAAAACGATTAATAAAGCAATTGCAGAAGTAGAAGTGAACTCAAATTATACTCAATTTGTGAAGTTGTATTCTCTACAAAAATTAGGGAATAAAAATATGGAACTCTTAAGGAAATCCGAGGAAGAATCAAATGTACTTGTAAAAGATGTTGCGACCGAATTTTCGGAAGTAATTAGGAATGATCTGCATTTTTGCATTTAGCATTTGGGCAAATATAAATGTGCTATGCGCATTTTTGTACATATTAACAAAATAGCGAAAAACTGTAACTATACTAAAATCTAACTACTACCATCATCAAAACCTACAATTAATTGTTACGGCGATTATAGTTTTGAAATTGCAAAAAGACCTGTTCATATCCCTTATGGAGGTAACATACAAGTTGGTTGAAAACGTTTGAACGCGAGTTTATCATTATCAGCTACTGCGATTCTTTGGTAAGTCCAATGCCAGATACTTAAAAAACATATTTGAACAAAGCTGGGCATGAAAGAAATTTTCAACACATGAAACTATTTTTAAATCAGTTTACAGCGTCGGCGACACCACATTTTACTAGTATAATATTATTCGGTTTCCTGTATAGGAGTGACTTCACGGATCCACACTTGTAATGTGTGTAAGTTTGTACTGTGAGGAACATGAACTGAAGAAACGGTTATTTCAGTCCGTTTCAGATATGTATTTAGAAATTAGAATGAAAGCAATAGATAGCAGCTCGTAAGGTTGTAAATAAAACAGATTTTAATTAATACGAAGATAGAAGTCTACATGTCACACGTAATTTTATATTTTCGTGATTTCGTCGAGTAATTTAGTCACACTTGGTGGACAACGCACCAAATTTATCAGTATATT